GGCGGGGAGCCCCCGTGGAGACCCGGGCGCTCCAGTCGGCGGCGGCCTGGCGCTGGAGTCCAGGGCCCCCGCGCCGCCGCTGTGCCCCTCCGAGGCACGGCTGCCCTGCCCCAACTCGTCCAGCTCCATGGCCAGCCGCTGCGCCTCCTGCGACCTCTGGAAGTACAGCTCCCTTGCTCGCCGCAGGCCCTCCTCCCTGCGCACCTCCTCCTCGCGCAGCTGCCGCAGCCGCGCTCCCAGCCTGCCCGCCTGCCCGTGGAGCTCCGCCGCCTCCGCTGCCGCCGCGCGCAGCTCCAGCAGCTCCTCCCGCTGCGCGGCCCATCCCCGACAGAGCTGCTCGACCTCCGCGCGCGGCAGGTGCCGGCGCCGCGGGGCCCGATGGCCGCTCGCGGCCCCGCTGGCGTCCCAGTGGCCGAGGAGGTCGCCATAGGCCCCCGGCGGCCACGGGCCCGGCGCGGCCGCCGCGGGCCTCGGGGCCGGCGCTCCCCGTGCCTCGCGGGAGGCGCCGAGGGGCTCCACGCCGCGGCCGAGGTGCGGGGGCTTGGCGCCGGGGCTCCAGGTGCCGCGCCGCGGCAGGGGCGCGGGGCGGCGGGGCGGCTCCATGTGCCGCGCCGCGCGGCGCCGTGGGGGCCTGCCGCGGCGCGCGGAGCGCGCAGCGGCCCCACGCCCCGCGCCCGGGGCGGCGAGACGCGGGCGCCCCGCGCCTCACGGCGGGCGCCCGGGGGCCCCATGCCTTGGGCGGAGCGGCTGGGCGGTGGGGGAGAGAAGCAGACAGGCGGGCAGTGCAGAGCGAGATGGCCATGCTCGAATCCTCGCGCGCGTTTCGCGCGCGCCCCGACTTCTAGTTCATCACCGCCCGCCTGGGCATTCTCAGGGAGCGCTAAGCCGGGTAACGCCTAAACGGGGTAACAGACCCACCATGGGATCCAGTTGGAAAAACTGCAACGACCAGTACACACCCGTAGCACCCTGCATTTGCGGATAAGAGTGAGGGGCGGCGGGGTCGTCGGCAGTCTTCGAGGCTCTGAGGAAGCCCGCCGCAAGCGCCGACTTTCGTAATCAAAACATCGTGGGTGGGTCGCGGGTGGGTCCCGGGGTGGCTCGCAAGCGAGGACGACGACAACAACAACGCAATAACAACAACGACAATTACAATCACAACACGATCAACACCAACAACAACGAACACAACAACAACACCAACAACAACAACACCACCAACAACAACAACACCAACACCACCAACAACAACAACAACCACAACAACAACAACAACAACAACAACAACAGCAACAACACCACCAACAACAACAACACCAACAACAACACCAACACCAACAACAACAACAGCAGCAGCAGCAGCAACAACAACAACAACAACAGCAACAACAACAACACCAACACCAACAACAACAACAACAACAGCAACAACAACAAACACAAACACAAAATCAACAATCTATGTCAGACTGTTTGCTCTGATCTGCTCGCGTGCCATTCAACACGAATCCCAAAGCCTCGGTACCCGCCCTCTTCGTCTTCGATCGTGCACCCTTGGGGGCATATCTTCCTTACCTGCCGCGCGTAGTTGTCGCAGCCCCTGAAACAAGGAAGAGAGGACGGATGGAAGGGGGAGGGAGAAGGATGGAGCACGGGATTAGCAGGAGAGGGGAGCAAAAAACGCGTGGCAAAACCAGGCGGGCCCATCGGGCGGGTAGAGCCGAACGGGCGGGTCGGGATGGCGGGCCTAAGCGGCTAAGGTCGAGCACGCGGGTTTCTGAGGCGTGAAAACTGCATGAATCGCGAGAAAAGCTCGAGCGATAGCGCGCTTCCCAAGTAAATCGCGAGAGAAGCCAAAACGAGAGCCCGATTCCTGAGTGTCGAGGGCGCAGCGTCTGAATCAATTGCGAGGGAGTCCCATGCAAGAGCGCGACTCGTGCATGACATGTGAGGAAGTCCCGCGCGAGGGTGCCATTCAGAAATATGCCGAGGAGATATTAGGCGGGAGCCGCTGTTGTTCTAAACCGGGGGCCAGGGGCGCAGTTTGGTGACACTTCACTTGCCCTTGTAACAAGCTGGTGAGAGCCCAGGGACAAACACTTTAATCGAACCATACAATGGTTACCGGGCAGGGGGAACAACAACAACAACAACTCTTCTTTAGAAATGAGAGCTCAACAGCAACTATAGCAACAACAACAGCAACACCACCAATCATGCTCATGCTGTTCGCACTTATCTGCTCGCGTACCATTCAACACGTATATCCCAAACCCTCGGTATCCGCCCTCTTCGCCTTCGATCGTGTCCCCTTGGGGGCATACCTTTCTTACCTGCAGCGCGCATTTCACGCAGCCCCCACGGCAGGGGAATAGAAGGCGGATGGAAGAAAGAGACAGGGGAGGGAGGGGGATGGAGCGCGACTGGCTGTCGGTAGGGGGGACTTTTTCGACTCAGTTGGCTCGATCGGTTTTCGATGGTTTTCGACTGCCCACTCATAGCTGGATCCGTCCCAAGTATCATCATCGTCATCGTCATCATCACAACCCCATCTTCCTCGCATGGCCGTCATGTATCATCGGTGTCGTCACCGTCATGGATGGGGGAAGGCTGATGGCGAAGACCTGATGCTTGCGCGATACATTACCTAACAGCTTTTGCTGATAGGTTTCTAGTGGTCTCAAAAGAGAGCATCATGACTCCTCAGGGGGGTCTGGGCGGGACCCGGATCGGCTGCCGCCGAAGCCGAAATCGCTTAGGACATCCTCGCAAAATCGCTCTTGGTGCTCCCAGAACTCCATTCCAGGCCACATTTTGGATGCCCGGAGCCAACTGTAGGCCACTTCGTCCCATGCTCTTCGACTTCCCAGAACTCCATTCCCGGGCCACATTTTGGATGCCCGGAGCCAACTGTAGGCCACTTCGTGCTCTTCGACTTCCCAGAACTCCATTCCCGGGCCACATTTTGGATGCCCGGAGCCAACTGTAGGCCACTTCGTGCTCTTCAAGTTCCCAGAACTCCATTCCTGGGCATGATTTTGAATGCCCGGAGCCAACTGTAGGCCACTTCGTGTTTTTCTAGTTCCCAGAATTCCATTCCTGGGCCACATTTTGAATGCTGAGGCAGGCTGATGCTGCGGCCGAGGCAGGCTGAGGCTGAGGCAGGCTGAGGAGGCCGAGGCTGAAGGCAGACTGAGGCTGAGGCTGAAGGAGGCTGAGGCTGAGGCTGAGGCTGAAGCAGGCTGATGCTGAGGCAGGCTGAGGCTGAGGCTGAGCTGATGGCTGAGGCTGAGGCAGGCTGAGGCTGAGGCCGAGGCTGAAGGCAGACTGAGGCTGAGGCTGAAGCAGGCTGAGGCTGAGGCTGAGGCAGGCTGAGGCTGAGGCAGGCTGAGGCTGAGGCTGAGGCAGGCTGAGGCTGAGGCTGTGACTGCGACTGCCGTTGCCGCTGCGACTGTCATCGCGAATGCGACTACGACTGCGAGAACAGCAGAATTCTACAACTGGATTTTTATCTGAATCTTAAGGGGAATGCTTTCAGATATGCTTCTACACATCGCTGTTAGGTTGCTTTGCCGGGATAATCGTTTTTTTTCCCAACCATGCCGTGGTGTTGGGTCCTCGTTTTGAAAAGACGGTCCCTGCGTTCACTCCTCCTGCTGCCCCCTCCCCCCTCATCTCCCATCCGCGCCTCTCCTCCCATCCCTGCCTTTATTCTCCGCGTGTCCATTTCGGCCACGGTTCGCGGCCACATAGGGAGCTCCACAGAAAGCCCCAGTGGCAGGGTCCGCATGGCACCGCCGCCAAAGCCCCATAGGGAGCTTCACCGAAGGCCCCAGTGGCAGGGTCCGCATGGCACCGCCGCCCAGTTTCGGCGCACCGCTCACACGGCTCGTGGCCATACAAGGAGCTCCACCGAACGCCCGAATGGCAGGGTCCGCATGGCACCGCCGCCCCATTTCAGCTTACTCCTCACACGCTTCGTGGCCCCATAAGGAGCTCCACCGAAGGCCCCAGTGTCAGGGTCCGCACTGCACCGCCGCCCCAGTTCAGAACACCCCTCGTATCATTCGTGGCCCCATAGGGAGCTCCACCGAAGGCTCCAATGGCAGTGTCCGCATAGCACATCCGCGCAATTTCAGTTTACCCCTCATACGGTCCGTGGCCCCATAGGGAGCTCCACCGAAGGCCCCACTGGCAGGGTTTACATGGCACCGCCGCCCCATTTCGGCACACCCTAGGGAGCTCCACCGAAGGCCCCAGTGGCAAGGTCAGCATGGCACGGGTCTCCTAGGCCATGTTGATGGTCTGCCAGGGCCAATTTGGTGCGAAATATTGGGTGCCTATTGGGCCGGCTTGGGATTTCTGAGCGGGGGAACAAAAATAATCGTATTGGTTGAAGCGATTGAAGATTGAAGAGCCGTCATCGCCCGGAGGCGGCCCATGGCTGGGCGACGGGCGGGCTGCGAGGCGCACCGGCCCTCTGAGAGAGACGGGAAAAGGCGATAACCGATTCAAACGACACATCAATGTGTTTTGCCTCTCAGGGGCTCTCCACGGGTGGTCCTCTCATAGAGCTCCCCAGAGCCATCTAGGGAGCCTCTTGGTAACCGTTCTGAGCTGCCCGGGGCCGTCCTTGAGGCGTCAAAACTGTCCCTGGGTCTCTTGCCGCTTACTCGTGCCGTCTGCGGGATTCACGTGCCGCCCAGGGCTGTTTTCAGAAGCCGGGGAATGGCCCATCAGGTCCCTGGGCCCAAAGTGGCAATCCGAAGCCCCAGCTTTTGGATCAGATTTCCATCCCTGGTCAAGTGCATTAGTACCTATGCACGCACAGCCAGCGCGCTGCTACACACACGCTGGGTAGCGCGGGGTTTCATCGCAGTGGAAGGGCCCTCTAACTGCTTGGCGGCAGCGCGACAGCAGACGCTCTGGCTCCGCAGAGTATTCAAGCTCTCGGCGTCACCGATGCGCGCGCCCCTCCCCCAGCAAAGCCGCGCGGCGGCCTCCGTAAAGTACTCGTAGGTCTCGTCGTGCCCTTCGATAGCCTCCAGTGTGGCCTGAGGCTTACATGGTGGAATGTCCTTAAGATGCTTCGAATGGAAAGAGAGAGAGAGAGAGAGAGAGAGAGTGAGGGAGAAAAAAAAGCCCTCGGCGGAACGATAAGAACTCACCCTGTTTCTTCATCGGCGCCACCTGGGAGAAAATTTTCGTCCCGCGGAAATAAAATCGCCGAGCGTCGACTGGCGACTGCTGACAATCGCCCGCCGTCTTCGCTGGCCACTCGATGATTTCACTGTTGACCATCCTGCCGTGAGCGACTTTCGCAGCGCGATTGGAATCCGCTGGATGGCAGAAAGAGGCGCGCACTGAGGAGAATTGACATGCAAGCGAATGCGGTGTGGGACAATATTTGCACTTGGTTACCTTTCTCCCCCTTGGACAGCTTTGAACCAAACTTCAACAAACAAACATATCTCATTCAGCGTCGGAAAGGGACCATTACACATCCAGAGCAGGCGGTGACAGAGTGGACTGTTCCGATGCTCGCTCTTGCGCCGACTGCCTGAGACCAAGACACGAACACTTCCGGGACATTGTTGTCATCTCTCTTATGTGACAACGTGATGAACAAGGCCTGCAAGTCAGTCGTGCACCTCGCAAAACACGAAGCCGGGCGACGCCCGACACCAAACGCACAGGGGCAAGGTATGCAGCATACGTACGACCACTCAGACTTCAGGCGGCACCGTCGCCGCGCAGGCACCCGACGGCTGCGGAGAGATGCCGAAACATGTGCAGTTGTTTACAACACATTACAAACACATTACATGTTCTATATTGGTGGCGCTTCGCGTATCACCACCAGCCCATCCAACAACGATGCCCAGGGGAGTTGAGGTGATCAGGGAGGTGGGGGAGCATGCAGAATAACAAAACGCGGGGGAAGCCGTCCGAGGTGGGGGAGGGAGAGGAGGGAGGAGGGAGGGGGAGGAGTGGGTTGATAAGGGGAAGGAGAAGGAAGAGGAGGAGGAGGAGGAGGAGGAGAAGGGGGAGGAGGAGGAGGAGGAGGAGGAGGAGGAGGAGGAGGAGGAGGAACAGGGGAGCAGGAGGAGGAGGATGAGCAAAAAAGGACGAACATAAGAGCCTCCTCGGATGTCACTTGGGAGTTGCTTGGAGGCCTCTTGGAACTCCTGGGGGTTCTGGGGGGGCATCTTGGGTGCATCGGAGATCCTCTTGAAGCCTACTGTGGGCCTCTTGTGAGCCTCTTGGAGGCATCTTGGGTGCGTCTTGGGGCCGTCTGAGTGCCTCTTGGGGCCCTCTTGGGGCGCTCTTGGGTGCCTCAGGAGCGCTCTTCGGGCCATCTTGGAGGACATCGGTCAAACAGAGGGATTCCCCAATTACCGTCGCCATTCTAGAGTGCCTAAATCGCCTCTTGGGCCCCTCTTGATGCACTCTTTTTTTTTCTTCGCACTCACGCGAGGCAGCCTACAATGGCGTGTCGTAGCGGTGAAACAGGTGAGCAGCGCAGTCGCCGCATACAGGCGCGCTTCTCGGGCGAACAACGCGAATCCGCCGACCCAGTCGGCGTGTGACAGGGCTGTCCCGTCGCCATCTTGCCGCGAATTACTGAGACCCTAGCCGCCCTACAGGCAATCACAGAGAGAGCTTGGTGCTGGTGCCACTTCGCACAGCAGCCGAGCTGTTCTCCGCGGCGTGCTCGTTCACGGAGTGGGCGCCCCTTGTCTTTCTGAAATATTCTTCCTTGGACTTCCGCTGCATGCGACGCCGCTGTGACCGGCTGATCCCCTGACGCTTCGAGCACATGTCCGAACCATCCGAGCTGTCGTTCCCGTCCTTCTCCGCGTTCCTGTCAGACTCTTGCTTGGGGCCCTCCTCCTTTGCCAGGCGGCCTCCCCCGAAGGCTCCCGCCCGAAGGCTTCCTTCGCTGTGTGACAGATCCGACGCTGAGGTCGATGTGGCGTCAGAGGTGGGGTCCGACTTGGGGCGCTCAACCACGGTGACGTAGTCGATCCAGGGCGACGGGCAATCCAGGAAGGTGTTCTTGGAAGTCAAGCAGATTGGCCCATTGGCCGCCAGCGGCGCCATGGTCCTATGAAGGCTCATTGTCCGTGGAGCCCAGAAGGCTCGCGGCTCGGCTTGAGCCAAAATGGCTACGGACCCCTCTTGATGCACTCTTGGAGCGCTCTTGGGCCGTCTTGGGGCTCTCTTGGGCCCTTCTTGGGGCCCTCTTGGAACCACCTTGAGGCCTCGGAAGGCCATCGGAAGCGAAAAGGCGAGAAAACACAAAATATTGATTTCCCCAGGGGTTCGGAAGAATGTTGGCCTCTTCGGGGCCTCCTTGGGGAGCTCTCTGGCCACTTGGAGCGCTTTTGGAGCGGTCTCGGGGCCTCTTAGAACATCTTGGGAACCATCTTGAAGCATCGTGGAATATCTTGAGCCATCTTGGAGCTCATCTTGGGCTCTCAGAGGAGCTCTTAGAGCCATCTTGCAACTTGGACGACCCAATCCCTCGGAGGACCCCCCGTCCAGGTCCAGGGGAGGGGGTCGGGGGAGGGATCAAGACCCCCTCCCCGCCCGTAAGCCGTCTCGCTCACTCCTACCCGCCCTCCCAACACATACGTAGCACCCAAGTCTGGCCCGAGCCTCAGCATATTCAGCAGTCGTCTTTGGATGGGCAGCTACTGGGGGCCAATCCGCCGCCGCCGCCGCCGCCTCCGCCGCCGCCGCCGCCGCTGCCGCCGCCGCCGCCGCCGCCGCCCGCCGCCGCCCGCCCGCCGCCGCCCGCCGCCGCCGCAGCCGCCGCCGCCGCGCCCCGCCGCCCCCGCCGCCGCCGCCGCCGCCCCGCCGCCGCCGCCGCCCCCCGCTGCCAAACCGCTGCCGCCGCCGCAGCCGCTGCCGCCACCGCTACCGCCGCCGCCGTCGCCGCCGTCGCCGCAGCCGCCGCCGCCGCCGTCGCCGCCGCCGCCGCCGCAGCCGCCGCAGCCGCCGGCGCCGCCGCCGCAGCCGCCGCAGCCGCCGCCGCCGCCGCCGCCGCCAAGTGTACTATGTATTGTTTTTGACAGGGATGGTGGTGGGGGGCCGCATCGGGTTGGCTGCGCATGTTCCGAATTTGGAGGCAGAGTGTGGTTTGCATTGTTTTTTGCAAGGAGGGGTGTCATGGACCCTGGTTGGCCCCCAGTCGCCTGGGGGAGGGGGTGTTTATCAATAGGGAACAATGATAAACCCCTCCCCGGAAGGGAAGAGGGGCAGATGGATGACAACACACCCTAGACCACCTACGCCTTAAGGGGCCGGTGGGATTTCGATAATCTGGGTGTGTGTGTGGACTCCCCCCCCGAAAAAGGGATCCCCAGGATCAATTGCCCCTGGGGCCCCCTGAACGCCCCAGCAGCAGGTCCTCTGGGCTTTCGGGGCTCCTGGAAGCCTCTGCTGGTGGGCCCAGGCAACGGGCCCAAATCGGTCAGGAGGGCGGCCGAACGGCCCCGCGAGGGTCCCAAGAGACCCCAGACACCCCCCAAACGCCCGAAGACGGCCCAAAGAAGACCCTCAAGAAGCCTTCGACACGCAAACCATCTAATAATTCGCCATTGCTTTTTGCATGATTTTGGGAGTGCGAGTGTCAGAGGCCGCCCAGGAGGCCCAATAGGGCTTCCAGGCAGCCCAAGAGAGCCTCAAGACAGATCAACAGGGTCCCAAGATGGCCCCGAAGAGAGCCCCATGATGGCCCAAGATTGCCCGAGACGCCCCCCGAAGCATTCCAAATCGTGACCTGGTCGTTCAGGTATACCGCGGTTGGAAGCAGGGTGGCCCGAGGAAGCCTCGAGAGGGCCCCAGAAGGCGTCTAGGAGACCTGCAGAAGACCTCAAAAAACCCTTCACAACTTTCGTGAGGTCCCCTCTCCAAGGAAGAGCTTCCGCAAAAACCAACTGAAGAGGATGGACACATTCCATGGTAAGGCGAGCAAGGAGGAAGAGGAGGAGGAAGCATGAACAAAATATTCTGAATAACATAAATATAACGAATATGCAAGAAAACACGGCAACAATGAGTTATCGCTACATGTTATGTTTTACCTTCCCACCCTTCTGACTGCATCCCAAACTTCAAGAACCAAGGTGCATGGTGCGAAGCGCCACTGCAGTCTCGTATACCTATATGACCACCCTTCGGGTGAAAAGGAGGTTGTGGGAATGGGGAAGAACCAACTGCTGGTAACTGCGATGGGCGTGATGACAACGCTGCTGGTGGCGGGCCTTCGAGTTGGCGACGACGCGTGATGACGATGTTGCCCCGCGATTTGATATCACTAGCGACCCCGCTATCGATCCCACTATCGATCGGGACACCACGGCGGGACACCGCTGGACACCGCGGGACACCACTGGACGCAAAGGAACACCGCGGAACACCACTGGGACACCGCGGGACACCACGGGACACCACGGGACACCACGAGACACCATCGGGACACCATGGAGGGACACCGAGGGGCACCATCGGGACAACGCAAAACATCACGGCGGGACACCCCCAGCCACAGCGCGCGCACCGGAGGGCTGGACTTTTGCATCCGAATCGCCCTAGCGACGGCAAGATCACTACCCTCGCGCGCCCACTGCAGGACATCGCGGGACACCATCGAGACACCGCGAGGCACCACGGCGGGACACCCCCAGCCACAGCGCGGCCACCGGGGGGCTGGACTTTTTATCCGAATCGCCCTAGCGACGACGGGATCAACCAACCGCTGGCAACTGCGATGGGTGTGATGATGACGATGCTGGTGGCGCGCCCTCGAGTTGGCGACGACGCGTGATGACGATGTTGCGCCACGATGTGATGTCACTAAGATCTCAAGATCGATCGGGACACCATCGGGACACCACGGCGGGACACCGCAGGAGACCCCAGACACCACTGGACACCACGGAACACCGCGGGACACCACTGGGACACCGCGCGACACCACGGGACACCGCAGGACACCATGTGGACATCGCGGGACACTACGGCGGGACACCCCCAGCCACTGCGCGCCCTCCAGAGGGCCAGACTTGTGCATCCGAACCGCCCTAGCGACGGCGGGATTGTTCCTCTCGCACGCCGACGCGGCTCCACCTCGCCCGCACGCACGACACGAGCACGAAACCGAAACCGGTTTCCTCTCGATCTCACCCCCCCCACCTCCGATTTCATGTATACCGAGAGAGAGAGAGGGAGAGAAGGAGGGAGAGGGAGAGGACGAGAAAGAGAGAGAGAGAGAGAGAGAGCGGGCTGCAACCGGTGTGCTCGACTTCTCCGGCGTCGCCAGAGAGCGGGCCCCTCTCCCCGCTCCCCCTCCCCCCCTCTCCCCTCTCGATCCCTCTCCTCCGGCCCTTCCTGCCCTGCCCTCGCCCTTCCCTCCCTTCCCGCCCTCGCCCCGGACCCGATAGAGGGCCCCAAGAGGGTTCCAAAATGGCCCCATCTGCTCGGACGTACGCCGGGTTGAAGCCATCGCCGGGCACATCCACTCGACCCCCATCTTCCGAGCGGCACCTGCCGAGCGGAAGGGAAGGCTCGCGAGGAGGGCCTGGGGGCGGGCGGGTGGGGCCGGGCCTCCGCGGCTCCCTGGCGGGCGGACTGCCGCGGCTCAGCGCGCTCTCGGGGCTCTCGCCCGCGGGGGGGTGAGCTTTGGATTCCGCACTGGCCCGAGGGCGTCTGGCAGCAACGGTCGCCCATTCGCCTTTCCCGACTGCCACAGAACCCCCAACATCAATCTCGCTTGCTCTCGGCAGGAGCCCACCCTGTCCCGTCCTCGAACTCCTCCCCTTCTTTCCTTCCTTCCTTCTCATTACCATAGCCCCCCGCAGATGCGGATACGAGTGAGTGGGCGGTGGAAGCGTCGGCAGTCTGCGAGATTGTGGAGAAGCCCGCCGCAGGCGCCAAAATTTCATAACTTCTACAACGAGCCCGCCGCAAGCGTCGATTTTTTCGTTAAACCATTGTGGGTAGGTCGCGGGTGGGTCGCGGGTGGATCGCGGGTTGGGTCGCGGGTGGGTCGCGGGTGGGTCGCTGTTGGGTCGCGGCGCGGCTGGATCGCAAGTTGGTCGCGGGTGGGTCGCGGGATGGGTCGCGAACGGGTCGCAAGTGGGTCGCGGGTGGGTCGCGGGTGGGTCGCGGGTGGGTCGCGGGGTGGGTTGCGGGTGGGACGCGGGGTGGGTCGCGGGTGGGTCGCGGGTGGGTCTCGAGTGGGTCGCGGGTTGGGACGCGGGTTGGGTCGCGGGTGGGGTCTCGAGTGGGTCGCGGGGTGGGTCGCGCGGTGGGACGCGGGGTGGGTCTCGGGGTGGGTTGCGGGGTAGGTCGCGGGTGGGTCGTGGGTGGGACGACAACAGCAACATCATCATCATCATCATCATCATCATCATCATCATCATCATCATCATCATCATCATCATCATCATCATCCTCATCATCCTCATCATCCTCATCCTCATCATCATCATCATCACCAATAACAACATCAACAACAACAACGACGACGACAACAACAATCATTTTAAGACTGGTCGCTCTTACCGTAACGCGTGTCTTGCATTCCGTATACCCCAACCCTCGATACCCGCCCACTTCGTCTTCGATTGCACCCCCTTTCGGGGGGGATCTCCTCCTTGTCGGCCACTGACTGAAGCGCGAAGAATTCTCGAGCGAGAGCTCCGTTCCTGAGTTCGGGAGCCTCTCTGGCCAGGGGCTCTCAGAATACCGATAGAGAAATATCGCAGGGGAGCGCTTGTCGCCGTGTCCGGGCCTCCACCAACTTGCCTGAATTACGCGAAAGTCTCGAGCGAGAGCGCCGTTCCTGAGTTCGGGGGTCTTCTTGGCAAGGGGCTCTCGGAGTAAATCGTGAGGAAATATCGAGCAGATTCCTTGTTATCGTGGCTGGGCCTCCGCCAACTTAATTGAATTGCGAGGAATTCTCGAGCGAGAGCGCCGTTCCTGAGTTCGGGGGCCTCTCTGGCCAGGGTGTCTCAGGGTAAACTGTGAGGAAGTATCGAGCGGGATCCGTTGTTGTCGTAGCTGGGCCTCCAAGGGCCCACATTTAGGCCCAAACAAACGCTCGAACGGGAGCATCGTTTTTAGAGAAAATGTAGCCGGCGTCGAGGCGAAAGCGCGCGGAACCATTTCCAGAGATCAACAATGATTATTATCTATGAATGGGCACTCAACAACAATAGCATCAACAACAACAGCAGCAACAACAACACGAACCACAACATCAACAACAACGCAACAATCGTAATCCTCACCACGGATCCCCACTTCAGCCACGCACCCAGGGACAATGAATGTCCGTTCGGCCCCATCACTCTGATCATCCTCCTTCTCTTTCGCCTTCTGCTGCCGCTCCTCCTCCCCAGGCGTTCACCTGGAGCCATCAACTGGCGGCGTGCATAGACAAAACCCCAGAACTATGAACCCAAATGCAGGTCCAGGTCCTCATCCGACCCCCCTCCACCTCCCGCTCATCCTCGTCCATGGCATCCCAGGCGGCGGCAACATGAATCGCCTGCTTCAAGTTCCTCTCCAACCACAAGGTGTAATTGGCGCCCTTGCAACTCGCGATCTTTACCCCGGCCTGGCCGCATGCTGTGTAGCATGCCCACGAAGTCTGTGCTATATGCTCCCTCCTCCTCCTCCTCCTCGTCATTGTCCTCCTCCTCCTCGTCATTGTCCTCCTCCTCTTCCTCCTCCTCATACTCCTCAAATTCCTCATATTTCTCCTCACCTCCGCAACCATTTTGGCTCAAACCGTTCTGGCACAAGTCTGCGGCCCGTGCTTGCAAGCATGTACTTCAGAACGGCATGTGTTTGCGGGCCTTTTCAGGTGCTGTTCCTTGCATGCTCGCACCCCCCCTCCGCCCCGAGAGGCGGCCGATGGTGCCAACGCCCGATGTCCTGGCAGGAGGACGGCCCCCCTTCTGGGGGTGCGGATGCGGCTGTTGGGACACTTGGGCACCGCGAGTCAGGTGCAGGCACTGCTCCAAGCCTGTCCCGCAGAAAGTGGACAACGCTGCCAAGCAGGCAGCAGCTAACTTGCAGCAGCAGCAGCAGGCTCCCTCGACCTCGGCTCGATCGCGCAGCGCGGGCGGGCCTCAGCCGCGGGGAGCTTGGGCCAACAGGCCGCCGATGCACTCCGAACGCGTGCGCCTCTTGCATTGGATGCGCGTCCAGCTGGCGGAGCTCAAGGGAGGGCCAGCGCCTGCGACGCCGCCATGGGTCAAGCAGCCCAGTCAGCAGGCAGCAGGCGGCGGCGGCAAGGGCTCAGCCAACTAAGCAGCGATGCCAGAGCATGGCGGAGTCTCCGTCAAGGATGTGGTAGCCTTCATGCAACAGCAGGGCCTCGACACCTCCAGCGCGAAGCAAGCTGAAGCGGCCAATCATGCCGAGGGCAGCGACGTCAAACAGCCCACAGCGCAGGGCCAGCGATGGCGCGTGGAAGGGCTGCGCAAGAATATCGCCAAGCTCGGGACAGAGGCTGGGAACATCAAGCAGCAGCAGCAGGCGCTGGAGGTGGAGCTCGGCAAGCTCAACGCGGCCCTCCACGACGAGCGCGGGAAGCTCGAGGAGGGGGAGGCCAAGCTCGTCGAGCTCCAGACTAACGAGTTCGAGGACCCCGTCCAGACGCGGTGCGAGACAGCCAGGAGGCGCAGGGGGCTCTCGCCGCCCCCAAGGCGCTTGCAGGTAAAAAACATCCTTCAACAAACAAGTACTCGTGCTTCTTTTTGTAGTTATGGCTGCATTTGAAGATACAACCAATAAAAATAAATCATTGATCTGCTTTTTTATTTTTAAATAACAATAGAGTTACTCAGACACAGGCCGAGGGGCGCCGTCGCATGGAGGCCGCGGCTGCTGCACCTGCGGCGGGCGGTCCTCCGCGTTCTCCCGCTGGTGGCGCAGGGCAGCGAGCTCAGCACGTCCCAGCTGACGACGGTGACGGTGAAGACGCTGACATGGACCTCCACGGCCGCATGGACTATCCATGCGCGGCCTTCTCCCGCACGAGTCGCGCTGCTTCTGCGAATGCTAACTGCGCGCGATGGGCATAGAGCGCATGCCGGCAGCGCGCGATGAAAGCTCTGTTGCAACCCTGTGCGTGGACACGCTCCCCGTCGCATTTGAATTTCCTGTAGGTCTGTTGCAAGACGGGATCAATCGCCAAGATCTCAATCGGTTTCATCATGTGAACGCCGACTGCCGTCTCAAGGCCAGCGGCGCTTTTGTCGATGGTAGGATTTCGCGCATTAGAGCGCCTGGCTACTTCAGTCCGGGGATGGACCTCGCCCACCCAAGTACCGGACGGCTGTTCTCTGATAGCGTCTGCTGAACATGTCTTGGACATGGGCTACAGTGCCGCAACCTGTGATGCTCGGCAGGTCTTCCTGATGGTGTTGTAGCCAAGTGTCGTAGTTTACCTGGGCGCTGAAATAAGATAGCAGTCAGGTGATTCTGCAGTTGGGCTACAGGATATCTGTCTCCACGTGACATTCACGTTGGTAGTGTAGTACAAGTCCTTGTATTTCGTAATTGCCAAGGCCAACATTTGTCTTCTTACTTAGGTTCCTTACCAGAGTTAATCCACGCTTGAAAGCCAGCCCGGCAATGCCGCCTCCCCCACCACGGCGTTCCAAGATATGCACGCAACCGTTTGAGCCGTAGCATAACGTAGATACTCTTGAGTCTATGTCTGTCTCTGTGTCGGTCGGTGCCAGTGTCGGAATGGAAATGTACATGCCTTCGTCGAATTCGTCAGGTTCCAATTCTCAAATAGGTGCATCCGCACTTAAGTGGGTGGCGCTTACGTCCAAGACTAATCCTTTCAAGTCGTCTCCGCAATCGTCGTGCCCGAATTCGACATGCTTCTTGATTTCACGTGGTTGTATCGAGATGCTCCCTTCTCTGCTTCGAGTCAAGCGTTTACCGTAATCCGGGCTTTGGAGGGGGACGCAGGAGCGTCATCGCGCCCTTCGCGCCCAAGAATCGAGAGGGGAGAGAGACGATCGTCGAAGACGACTAATTGTTCCTCTTTTTGGCGTTTCCGCCTATGCTCGTCTCCGAGCCTACTGGTACTTTCTGGCTGCCACTACAATCGAATAGACGTGTTGCGTACACCTGCCGGTAGTACTGCATGCCAAGCGTATCCAGTCGGTTGATATTTGACACTGACATCTTGTATCACGGTGAATTTGTCTTCGTCTACCGTCACCCGTCGCGCCACTGTGTCCCGATTGGGTCCATTCGGGGCTGTTGTCGTGTAGTGTTTCGCTTTTTTGTCCGTGCGGGTACGGATGATTACATGCGTCGTCGGTTGTGATTTAGAGTCGTTCGCATTTTTCGGAAATCTAATGTCCAACAGTCGTGCAGCACACACACATTGCGTGCATGAACGCCCTATTCAGCTTGTTTGTGTATGACCATAGCAATCAAGTGCGTGCATCTTGGTGCCGGGTGTAGATTTGCACTGCGACATCTCTATGGATGGTGTGTATGATGCGGCCACTTGTATGTGTGATCCTCTTGGCGCTGGGCTATGTTCATCGTATTTGAATCCGAGGCTGCATAGTCGCATGCGTGCAACACGTAGGTGCAACTCCTCCATGGTATCTCGCATAGGTGGAATGTGCCATATATACACGTACATAGACATACATCTATATGTACATATATATATATATATATATACATTCGTATTCTTATGCATTTATTACCCCGACCCCCCCACACACCTCCCCCCTAAACCGGATCCCTTTCCCAGGGACGCCCTGGAGGCCCTTTCGGACGTTTTAACGGCCCCCCGGACGCCCTTGGAAAAAGTCCGCTGGCCCTTCCGGGCCTCTCAGGGCGCCTTGCCGGCCGTGCGAGTGCGAGCGGACTCAAGGCGATCAGAGGGGTCATCGGAGAGGCGCAAGAGAGACCCAAGACAGCACAAGAGCGCTCCAAGAGAAACGTCGATGGTCTGAAGACGGCCCAGGAGGCCCCCAGGAGGCCCCAAGAGGCTGTTAATAGATCCCCGCAGAAGCAAACATCGTTTAGTTCCCTCATGGCAATGTATAATTTCAACAAATCCACTTTTTGGGACTTCGCAATGTCCAAAGCGGCCCGATGGGCCCCCGATATCGCCCCAAGACGGCCCAAGAGGCCCCCCAGGGGGTTTGAAGACGGCCCAAGAGGGCCCCAAGACTGCCCCAGAGAGCCCCGAGACTGCCCGCAAAAAGCCCAAGATGCCCGCAGGAGGCTCCCAAGAGAGACCCACGAAAGCCACAGGGAACCCCCAAAAAGGCCACTGGACGCCCCCAAAAAGGCCCTAAATGGCTTCAGAAGACCTCCGGAGGGCCCCAGCTCCCCAAAACGGCCCAAGAAGACCCAGGGACTGCCCGAGGGGGCCCCAGGACGGCCCGAAAGAGCACCAAAAACGCTCAGACGGCGTTCCCTACGAAGTACATCGAACTGACCCGACGATCTTGGTTCCACGTTTGAAGCTCGAGGTTTTAGTTCCTCGATCGAGAGAAACAGGCAATAGATCTAGATTCGAAGTTCGACGATCGACGGTCTCCTGAATGCCTGGAGTCCTCTATACATTCAGGAAGCTACCAAACATCGATTTGTTCGGAGCTACTGCGACTTCTTCGGCGCGTCGTGGGAATGCTCCTTACTTCCTCAAGAGGACTTTCGCGCGTGAGAAAAGTCTCGCCGATCGCCCGTCCAGGCTTCGAGGTTCCCCCCGCTGAAGCCAGCCATGATTGATTGCTTCGCCGGGGGGGGTCCAGAACAAAGCGCATGGCACGAAGCGCCAATGCAATCTTGCGTATATATATATATGTCACTCGTACCTTGAGGAGTCCAGACGGGTCCCGCCGAACAGACCTAGAAGGGCGCTCTAGAGTGCTCTACAAGGGTCTGGGCAGCACGCCGTATATTGTAATGGTGCCTCCCTAGAGCCTCTTCACTGTCGAGAGGGCCGAGAGCGGGGGCGGTGCGGACAATATTATATATGTGATAAGCCCGCGCAATCCTCTCAACGATCTCGGGCGAAGGGTGACCATCGAGCCCAAGACGCGTGGAGGGGCAAACAGGAGGCGGATCAGGATGGTATACAAGCCTCCAAAGGACAGGGCAATGAATATAATACAACATGTCGTCTCGGCATTGGGCGCATTGGAATCTACGCAGGCCGATCTCTGACGAGTGCAAACGTGCGCTGGTGAGCCAACCTCCTACAATCGTCTTCAGGACAGCACTTTGCCATGCTGGAGGGCCTCCGTTGCGAATGAAATCTCTGAGGGCGTCCCAGAACGATTCCGAAAATGGGAGCTCCCACGAGGCCATGCGCTTAGCAAGAGTGAGGTGGAGGACGTCGGGGTAAAGAGGGAGGCGAAGAGAGGAGGAAAGGGATCTCTGCACCTTCACGCGCCCCAGTTCTGAGGCTTCGGCAAGGGCGGTCAGGGCAGTGCGGGCGGCCGAAGCGTGAACCTTCAGAGGGAATGCGGCCCGGCTGGCCTCAGAAATGTGGACCACGATCGGTTTTGTTCTCCAGAAGACGGGCGACCACCAGCCAGAGCCCACTTCCGCGAGGCT